TCTCTGAGATACTGCCTAATAAATTCTCTAAAGAAAGTTATAGTGTAAATTAAATTATGATAGAGGGTGTCTTTATTACCACTTGTACTAATATAGACCAAACAATCTGCATGCCTGATGATGAACTCAGTTACCACTAAAACGTTCCTTGTCCTATAAACTGAGATCACTGTGTCTGAAAGGTTGGACACAATGTAAGAGCATACGTGGTCATTTTCCAGCAGGGAGGACCCAACTATGGAATCATTTCCAGTAGGGAGGAACCAACTTTGAGCTCATTTTCCCCTTCAGAAGCTCGCTACACTCCTGTTGTAAGACTCGGTAGTTTGATGACTGACTCTCTCCAACCCTTCCATGTTCCTCAGCAGCATCTGGCATCTGCAGATGAAATTGTTCACTCATGTCCTTGAATGTGTCTTTGATGAACACCTCAGTTCATTTCAGAGTTCTGTCATCTTAACTTCAGGGTATGGGATGTAAGCTACCTCTACAATACACACACGCACCATATAGCTGGTACATAGTGCTGTAGACAGGGAAACCACCATCCTCTTGCTTGAATTTTATCAGCACTTATTTTGCTTGAAAAAGTGGCAGTTGGTTTTTTTTTTTTTTTTTATATAGCTGTCACAAGCTCAGCTGCGTAAGTTGCATCCTCAACACTCTGCACACACCGAAGGATCATGACTAGCCCTTTTCCCTTATTGTTCAACACCTCCTCTGAATTCTTCTTTCAATTTCCTCACAGAATGTCCCATTTGCATTTCCTGTTATTTGGTGACACCTGTTTATTAGTAAATAAAGCTATATTGGTCTTCCCATCCATTTCTGAGCAGCCCTTCTGAGAATCTGCTTTAGCAGGAGATGCATTCTGCTAGGACTGCTAGCTGTAGAATTGGCTCCATCATAACACAAGAACATGTATTTTCCTAGTATCAAGGAAGAAGGATGGACAGCAACTCATCTGCAGTTTCTGCAACCTAAAAAACTAAAATTTCAGGAAGGTAACTCTTACTGGATTATTTCACATCTGCTGGTTTACCGCCCTTCACTGCACCTGCTATCTATAAAGTTGTCTCAATAAAAAATGTCTTTGACACAGGCTTGAAACCATCATAAGTTCAGTCCATACTGCAGCGTGAAGTATCTTCACAGAAGTTCTAGCACAAATGTTAGTTCACCTCCAGCAAAATACAACATACCTATACTGATAAAGAGATTGCCAAAGATGAGGAGCCTTGATTCCTTAGACATTACTTCTTTTTCTTTGGCTCCATATGGTTAAGGATAGAGGGATACAAATTGCATCTCATGGCCATTGAATCCCTGGGAGTCTCAAGGGTGATATTAGGACTCTGTTACTACTTTAGCATTTATCCATCAGAAATAATTTTAGTTTATACAGAATCTCATCATATAATTGGACTTTTACGCCTCCACCACAGGGAGACCTTGACTGACGTTCACCTGCATAAATTCTCATGCCATAATATACCTGCAAGAAGTATACATTTCTCTGCAGATTCTGAGCTACTTAAGCATTCATCCTTTTAGCTTTTCATTGACTACTTAGGATTTCCAAAATTCCATGTTCCAATGGTAGAACACAAGATGTACAGGGGGATGCCACTTCATCCTTCACTCTGCCCAGACCAGTTGGGACAGACACATTATTTCTGTACTTTTGGCTAGCAAATGCTAACATAGTAGGGCTGATGGACTTCAAACCCACACAAGTAAGTCAGCCTTCAGGTGTTCATGTTGTCATGAAGCATATTCAGAGTTTTTTTGTCTCAGGTATTCACAATACCTGTAAATTACCATAGACACAACTTCTGCATACCACCTCCCATGAAACAGGATTCAGCTGACTTCAGCATTGCTGTATGAAGTGTAAGATTCATTTTCTGAGCACCTTAAATATTGTCATGGAATAGTCTTGAGTTACTTTATTATGTTAGATCTTTAATAACAGATATTCCCAATGTAATTCAATTACCTGGGACTATCATGAAATGGACTTTTTTGCCTTCAATACCATCAAGTACTCCCAGATCTTTTGCTCGCACTCCAGTTATGTCCTGATGGGGACAGTGCTCATTCAGTGATCTGAAAGGCTGGCATATGCTTTCCCTCCCATTCTACAAGTTAGGCACACGTTAGTTTCCATGACCATGCTTAGCTTAGGCAGTGTGGCTAGAATATTAGAGCTATTTTTCAGTGAATCCAAGACTGTCCCTCTCCAAAATGATCTTTAACAGCAGACCCAGTGCCATTTTGACAATTGCCTGCAACATTTCATAGCACGCTCGGTGGATGAGACTTGGTCAGTTAGAGTTGGCCCACTTATACAGTACACTTACATAGTATAGAGCTGGCCCTCCAATACAGGTTCTCCTTGGTTGTGGGAAGGCATATTGACACAGCAAAACAGAACAGGACTTCAAACTCCAGTTAGTAAGTTTTTTCACACACACACCCTGGGCATCCATCCCAGTCATTTTAGAGTATTTGATAGAATGAAACATCTGCCTTCTCCTTTAGTCCACCTACGACTCACACAACCAGCACTGATGCTATGGTATCAGGGAGAGCTTTTCAGTTCAGTTCAGTTCATGGATCATATCAGTCCTTCTTGTATCCTGACTTATCTACAAAAGTACCCTGTTTTTTTCCTAGTCACTAACTACCAAGGTGCTGTATTAGATGTCTGAAGAGAAGCCAAAACCCATAGAAAAGCATAAATATATACACAGCTTCAGCTGGCATTCCTACCTACTAGGAGATAAAGGGAAGAGCTTTTGTGTATTCACAGCTAACTCCTTAAATTCCTTAAGGTACTGGACAAGCTGTTCTCAGTAATGAGGTACTGTTTTTCACTATAGAAATTGAATTTGGCACTCGTGGTTTTTGTAGGACCACAGTTCAAGTCTATGGTGACTTTTTTTGCTGCTACACTTAACTTTAACTGTGTCTTCCATTCTGCAAGAATATCTGCCAAGGCATCAAAGCTGATTCTTCCTACAAAACATTCTTGCTAAAAGAATTTCTTAACAAATTCATTTCAAGTTTCCTCCCAAAGTGTTTTCTGAGATTAGTTTAACCCAGAAATTAATTTACCTATTTCCTTCCCTAAATCTTATGTATTTAGGACCACAGCATCTTGGCTGCCAGCCATCTGTAACATTGGATATAAGGGAAAAGGAAGGAAGAGCATCTCTGTGTTTCTTTCTTGTCCCAAAAGTTTTTAAGACAAATCCAAGACTGTGCTGAAAGTAAAAGCTACAAAGGCCTAGCCATACCCACACGGGGATCACATACCTCACGAATCAGTTTAATAAAGATATGTTATGAGAAATGTGCTCCATCATTAGAATGTGCTTCATTCAACTCACTGTATCCACAGTCTTGCCAAGCAATGTCTCCATCCCTGGTGTTTGCAAAGTGAATACCTGGAACTATATTTATGGCCAAACGTTATACTGCCACAAGGGCATCCTTAAAGGATGCCATATTTACCAAGGTCTCCTGAATCATAGAATCATAAGAAGTCACTGCTTACAGAAAAACCCATATCCAGGTAACTGACAGGATAGGAAACTTCTGCTTGAAGGAACCCGCAGTGAATATTCCTGTGTGCAAACACTCTAAAATAGAAAAATTATTTATCAATAACTGGAGTTTCCTGAAATGCGTTGGCCTTTTACATATTCACTTCCCTTTCTATTCCACCTCCCCCTCTCATCCTTTCTCCTTCATTGTCCTTTGGGAAACTTTTGGCTTCAGGAGTCTGAGTAAACACTGGCACTACTCCACTATCAAATCATATCATGTAGGACTGAACTCCTGGATTTGGGTCATGTATACAATTACAGATGCAGATACTCTTCTACTAGACCTAGCCCTTCAGTTGTTCTGGACATATAAAGAAGAAAAACTCCACTGTTTAGACAACTTCCAGGAACATTCCTCCAAGGATACTGTGTGGTTTGTGGGTTTGTTCTACCTAAGTCATAATTTTGAATTGCCTCTGATTTCTGCCCAAGACCTTTATTGAGTTTAGTCTATCACCAGTTGATCAATCAATTTGAAATTTGCTCCTGTCCTCAGAGAATATTTAAATATGTACTTCAATATAAGTTTAGTTTTCTAAGACAGTGATAAGTGTGTAACTATACAGTAAATGTTTAACAGAAAACATAGAATGAGTAAAAATTAATAAAAAAAGAAGAAAGAAAAAAATTGAAAAGGCAGAGAAATTAACTAAACACAAAATATGAAAATGATAGTGTAATAACACTATTTCCATTATAGAATGGAGACAGGGGAACCTGGGGGGAAAAAAAAAGCTATGATAAAAAGAGTAAGTGAAGCAATTTTAAAAAACAGGCAACAGTGGGAATCTGAAGAATGCAAGATGTAGAAATTCCTATACTTAACTCTAACAGCTGTGCATTTATCAGCATTTGCAGGACCAACTTAGTCCAGCCTGATAAAATTTCAAATTTATTTGGTCTTTGCAAGACTTATCTCCTGGAAAAAATATAGACAACATTTTCAATGTTTCAAATCCTACAGAGAATACAGTGTTCTCCTTTAAGTACATAATAAATTTTCTGATATTTGGCATATTCCAATAAGAACCTACTCAAATCAACGTCTCCTGTTCAATATCTGTGCTGTATATTTGTAAAACTGCAGTGTGCTGTAAAAGTTTTGTGGGCTGACTGTAAACATATTCTATTGAACAGTGTTATTCCAAAATCCTTTCCCTAGTTGGTAGCCACAAGTCTTTATAAGCCATATGTTACATTCATTTTATAACAGTTATTTGAACATTAAAACTTGCAGTCAGGAACAGTTCCTGACATTTTGTGTTTTGTTATATCTGTGTATACCTCAATTTTAGATAATATTAAAACATGGTAAGTTTTCTCTGTAAAAAGGTTACAATGACACAAATAGCAGCAAGCATTTGAAGAAATATGGACACATTTACTGCATATATAAAGACAATGATATAATTTATGTTATGGTCAACAGTGTTAACTTTGAGATAGTTGTCTCATGAGGGACGCACACCAACAATCAGTCAGCTTTTAAATCTCAGCTAACACTTTTAGTTAAGTTCAGAGGTTTTCTGCTAGTATCCACGCTCCTGATTTTTTCTAGTAATTTTGTTGGTTGAGTGTCCTCATGACAGATATTCTTCTCACTTTTGAGAAAAAAAGAAAAAGAAAGGTATTTTCATGTATTCATAAGCCTCAAGACAAGTCTACTCAGTTATATTATTGTCTTAACCACACTGCAAACATCTGGTCACTCTGATTTGTGTAAGTAGTTTCTGAAGAAATGCATGTTAAACATGTTTAGAAAGACGACAAAAATGCCAATAAATTATAAAAACATAATTTAGAGAAAAAATTAATTTCTAGGTATAAATAGCTGTAGCCCAACAAATTACAGTATTTAAGAACGTTATTAGTTTAGATTTTGTGATTAAAAGACTTTTACATGTGAGTATATTCACTTTACATGTGAAGTATAACCTTTGCAAATGTCTTCTTTTCTGCCACTAGAGGGTACTCCAAGAACTTACAGTATATTTATAGCAAGGATTTATTTGGGGTTTTTTGGTCTGTAAATGATCAAGTACTGTTGTCATACTAAACCTTAGGAATTTAACCCCCAAGATCTTGACATTAAACAACAACTTTCAAAACCAGTCTGATATACCTTTTCAGCAAAATAGTGCAGCATACCCGAATTATAAGGAACGTTGACTGACATGTAGCTTAGATTTAAACTTATCCTACTTTTAAATTATCTAAATTATGATCTTTTCTTTATTTCAGACACAATTCTCTGGTTCACATCCTGTTTCTTCATCCAGATTTGGACAAGGCATTCCATTATTGGCAGGCTGGAGAAGTACAAAACGAGTTCTGATCTTGGTCCCTGTTTTTCTGCAAAGACCTCTGCAGAGACCCCAGGAAGACCATTGTGAAACCTCACAGTCCAGTGGTGTTTCTGCAATATACACCAAAAAAAAAAGGTAATTTTACATAAATTTGTGCTTAAGGCAAATACATAGTTGGCAAAGCATTAAGGAATGATGATCAAATAGTGTCCTTTCTTATACAAAAATACATGTGATACTAATAAAATCCATATGTTGCCTCATAAATAAAAATGTCTGTTTTCAGATCCTAAGCTCATCAACACTTGTTATTGTTATTAATAATATTATTGCAGTCTAGAGACTCTCTGAGCTACTATATCAGTAGTGCAGCATATTATTTATTGAATTGAAAATATAGAATTCCTATCAAAGAAAACCATGCTTAAAATAATTGCATTCAAAAGATTGCATTAAAAAACATTTACTGTCAATTTTATAACTCATATGCCTTTGCATGGCTTACTAAAAACACCAGGATTAAAGCTTTTCTCTGGTTTATTTAGGTACAGTTATATTTCTTAGCAGATAGGTATTGTTCCTATAGTTGTTCATATCGAATTCCATTTAACTTTTGTTCCAATCTAGTTCAGAAATAAAGAAAAGTCCCTTTTTTTTTTAATCATTAAATCATCTTGCTATTTTTTGGTATGTACACTACAGTTTCCTTTGCCAATAAAGATATTCTGTCACTAGAAGCTTTTTAATACTAGAAGAGTTTTCAATATAGTTTTAATTTACTGCAAGAAAAGAAGACTGAAACTCTAAAGTACTTTTCATAATGTATACTTCCATTGAAAATATCTCCCATAAAAATATAGGTGATTATTCCTTAGCAGGTTAAATAAAAATATCATTTGTCACAGGAAATTGCATCAAAACTGTGTATTACAGTGTTTGTGGGTAAAATAGGTGTGCACAGAACCAGCTTTAAATGCTGTACTTAATGTGTGACCTCTGGTATACATTTCTGGTATTACAGTGGAACTCACCATTTCTGTTGTGATCACTTATTCCCATGTTTCTAGTGGGAATGAGGGACAGAGTTTGGTAATTAAATCTGTCCTTTTGCTTCTGGATTATGTTTTGAACAGATGGATTTACTGGTTAATATACAATACAGTGGGGATGTATGATTTAAAATTATTTTTAAGTACCATACTTTAAATATATTGTTTTAGATTTATATCCTAAAGACGGCCAAATCTTCCTTTCAAATATTGTGGGAAAGGCATATGACTGAAAATGAAACATGTAGCACGCACTTTGTATATGTCTTGCTTACTAATAGAAATACATTGAACCACTATAAATTGATAGAGAAATGCATTTATTAAAGTATAAGTCATGCATTA